GAATCAGAAACAGGGTAGAGACCCAGTGATCTCTTTAAACAAGCTCTTCTGGTTATTCTGATGCACACTATAGCCTGAGAACCATTGATTAAGGCATCAGCAGAGTTCTATGTGAAATAAATCCTCAGCTGACACCTGTTGCTTAATTGATTCCATAATTTTTTTCCAAACATCTCAAAAACGTAAAAGAATATCCACTTTGAGGGGAGAAGAAAGGGGGAATGGTATGCTCTCACCTAACAGGTATAATGTAAAGGTATATGACACACCTCCTAGGTGAAGGGCTCAACCACAACTTGGACTTAATAAACCCAAACAATGTAACCTAATCGTTTGTACCCTCATATTAATCTGGAAAAAAAAGAAGATCCACTTGAAGAGAAAGATGAAGACAATTTTTCAAATACTGGCTGAATTTCACCATAATGTAAGATCACTACACTCTTGAACAGTCATAACCATGTGTGGCTCATGTGGACCACAAAGATCTAGATCAGACACAAGGAAAACTAAAGGCCACCTGATCCCACAATGTTTTATGTTTCATCACTTGTGCCTTAGGCAACAATCTTTGGATTCTTTTTCCAGACAGATAAATATTAACCCAAAAGCTTCCAAAGTAATGGAAATAAATGTTAAATATTATAATTAAAGTTGTATAACAATGAAATGGGAAATCCCTAGGAAACCTATTACTTAAGGTTTTTTCAACAAAACCAAGACACATACTTTAAATAAAGTTTAAATAGGGCTGGTATGGTGACTCAGGCTTGTAATCCTACCACTCCGGGAGGCCAAGGCAGGAGGATCACTTGAGTTCCAGAATTTGAAACCATTCTGATTGAGAGACCCTGACCCCATCTCTACTAAATAGAAAAATTAGCTGGGCAATGTGGTGGGCACCTGTAGTCTTAGCAATGCAGGAGGCAGAGGCAAGAGGATTGCTTGAGCCTAGGAGTTTTGAGGTTGCTTTGAGCTAGGCTGATGCCAGAGCACTCAAGCCTGGGCCACAGAGTAAGACTCTGCAAACCTTCCCCCAAAAATATAAAACAAAAGAGAACTGAATTATCTGTGATGTCTGGCTCTGAAGAACTCTTTCATACTTGTGAGACAACAACTTAACTGTTGAAATGATTTCACCTGTTTTCCTATCCCACTCTCCCCAAAACACCTATGCAATGAATACACCCAGTGTCCCAACTAACTGCATGGCAGTTTGGCCTTTGAAATTAGTTCAGCACATAGTATCTTTCATCCAGCCTCTGATGCCTGACTCCATGATGACCCTTTAGGAAACAAGAAGCTATCAATAGACCATAAACCACACATATGTTGTAGAAAAGAACCTTAAGCTCCAGACCTGGTTCTGATTGAGGTTGAGTTCAATGGCCTGTAGTTCCCCTACTGTGTCAGGAATACTTCGAATCTGGTTCTTAGAGAGATCCACTACATCCAGGTGCCGCAGGTTACAAAGTTGGGGTGGTAGTGCTCCCAGTCGGTTCCCAGAGAGGCTCAGGGTCTTGAGGGCAGAGAGTTGCCCAAAGGTAGATGGCAGCTCCCTCAGGTGATTGTTGTTTAAGCTTAGCGTCTCTAGTTTTTTCAGACTGCATATCTCCTCAGGCAGAACAGCTAACAAAGAAAATATTTTAAAAACTTGAATTAGAGCTTAAAACACCTTTGGTGAAGTTTATAAAATCTACATGGCAGCCTGCTTCGCCTCTTGTTAATATATGTAGAATTCCCACGTGCCATTTTTAGGTATTGCATTTTACTAAGTCTTCTGAAGGTGAGGCTGCCGTCAAAATACAGGAGAGCATTTATGTGTATAATGGGCTCCTTTTGTAAAGGGGCCCAGGCACAATCAGACAAGCAATTTTGTGCGATTTGGAGGGTCCTCCCCTTCCTATTCCATTACCCCTTCCAAATTAGGTAGCTCTGTTTACATCACATCCCAAAGAGGTTTCTCCCTTTCAAGTCCAAATTAACCCAGTAACAATCAAGCCAATGAGGCTTGTAGATGTTAATATAAAGAAGTAGAAAGGACGCTTCAAGTACGCTGACATTCTGCATCTTGAGCCCTCGTAATAGTTTCATAACATCAATAACAAAAATTAAAAATCAGCTTGTAAGAGAAAACCACCCTTCGTAACAGCTGATCTCTAGCAAAAGCTTCCCAGGTAAAAGCCATACTCAGTTTGTTGTTGTTCAGAGAGAGGCTCTTCAGGAGAATGAACTTCCCTATCACCAAAGACGGTAGGCTCTCGATCTTGTTGTTGGACAAGTCGATGGTCCTTAGATTGTTCGTCAGCTTCTGCAACTCCGAGGGGAACTGGAGAAAGGAGTTCACAGAGTGGAGAACTCCTCCCTGATTAACTTCGCAGTCCCCGCCGTCCCTCTCCCTCTAAGTTCCCTGGTCGGGTCCCTCCCAGTCTCACCTCGGTCAGCCCTCGGTCCTTAAGCTGAAAGACACCAGTTTTCTGCGCTGTTTCCACATGAGCGCGAAGAGCACTGTTTCCCATCCTACCGCCACCACTCACGTCCCTGCGGGAAGAAAGCGCAGTTGTCACAGCCCAGTCCAGGCACATAGCCGCCCGGTTGGCCTCCGCGCTGGGTCTCCTGCCCCAGCTGTCATCTCCTGCCAATCCTTGGATCCTGGGGGCCAGCCCAAGAGTGGCAAGGAAGAAAAAGAAGAATGGACAACTCAGCCACCAAGCCCTGCCGCTTTTGCAGCCACGCCGAGGCCAGGCGCCTTTAGGAACTTATAGAGGATCAGGGAGACCCGGACTCGCCTCCTACCGCTTAGTTGACAGACGGTTCAGCAGGGGAAGACCCAGGACCCGAGCGAGCCTGGGCTCGGCTCCGCGCGCTTCCGCCCGGACGGGAACGCCCTGTGACATCATCGAGCCGCGCCGCGCGTTCGTCCTGTGTTTAGCTCACTTTTGGCGCCAGCCGGGAAGGTGTTTCCGAGCCATGGCTACTGCTAACCCATGGGACCCGGCATCAGCGCCAAAGGCCGCTGGGCTACTGCTGGGCAACTTCGTAGCTTCAGGGACGGTCACTCAGGTGGGTGGGGGCAACGGTGGCGTCATCAAAGGGGTGCGTATGGTGGCGACAGAATATGGCTGTGAGGTGGTGGTGCCGGCCGCGGGAGTGTGAGTGAGGGGGTTTGTTGAGGGCTGTACTGGAATAGAGGCAGCTAGAGCCTCTTCAGGCAACATTATGAAAGTTCTGCCCTGGGTTACTTGGAAGTGGAGATACGAGTAGGTCGTCTTTAGCCCGTGTTTTGAGTGTAAAGTATTGGCGACAAAAGCATAAAAGACCTTGGAACGTGAATGAAGAAAGAAATTAATTTTGAGAAGAGAAAAGAGATTAACAAAAGGAGTGGCGGGTTTAGGTTGGACAAGAAGAGCGTGTTCGTAACCCGGGGAAAGGAGACAGAAGAGAGATTGAACATGTGAGGAGATAATGGAACGCAAGTGACAGGGAACGGGGAAAGTGGGGTCAAGGGCATTGAGATCTGTTTTAACTGTAGTTAAGATCTCCCACTCTAGCTCCTTAAGACCCTCTGACAAAGGCCAGCCGGTGGCTCACGCCTGTAATGCTAGCACTCAGGGAGGGAGACCGAGGCAGGTGGATTGCTTGAGCTCAGGGGTGGAAGACCAGCCTGAGCAAGAGCCTCATTTTCAAAAATAGCCTGGGGTTGTGGTGGGCGCCTCTAGTCCCAGCTACTTGGGAGGCTGAGGCATGAGAATCACTTGAGCCCAAGAGTTGGAGGTTGCCGTGAGCTATGACGCTACAGCACTCTACTGAGTGTGACAAAGTGAGACTTTGTCTCAAAATAAATAAATAAATAAAACCCTCTGACAATCTCATTGTACAGCCAGTCTCAATAAGAAAACTATGGACTCGTAGGTCGATTTTACTGTGAGCAAATTTTACATATGAAAACTTATTCCTATTAG